CACCAGGGGAGGGACGGGATCCAGCACGTCGGCCCCTCGGACGGGGGCGGGATCCCTCACCTGTAGGAGAGGACGAAGCCGACGGTGCTCTCGCTGAAGCGGACCAGGAAGCAGCCCAGGGGCCGATCCTGCAGCAGCTGCTCTGCCTCCCTGTGGGAAGGAGCCGGGAGCCGCTCACCCTCACCCCCTCCGTGGGATCCAGGGATCCAGCTCCCTGTTTTGGAGCCCAGGGGTGAAGGGGCCACCCCATTTGCTGCCTCGGCCTCCCCCCCGCTTACCTCCGACTGAGGAAGCCATGGAACCAAACTGGGAGCTCCCCCTCGGGCCTCAACCTCCAGGCTTGTGTCTGCTCAAACCACAGCCTCGTCTGGGCACGCAGGGCCACCAGCTCTGGTGGGGACCAGCCTGGTGGGGATGGCCAGAAGGAACCTGGTGGGACCTGGAGGGAAGGGGACAGCAGCCAGGGCTCGGGTGAGGACGTGCCCCAGGGATGTTCTGCTCCGTGCAGGCCCACCATGACACGGCCCCTGCAGGTGTGTGAGCTCAGGAGTGGTGGGACAGCCTAGGGGGGCACGGACCCCTCATGTCCCCATGTCCTACCCTGCCATGTCTGTTGTGGTGTCCCGGGGACTGCTCTGCTCCCAGGGGCTGGACGGGGGTTGTGCTGGCTCCTGGCTTGGCTGTGTTGTCCTCCCTGGGTTTGAAGGTGGTGAAGAGGGGACGGTCGTCATCCATGGAGTCCCCTGTCCCAGGGAATGGGGAGAAAGGTTCAGGGCAGTGAAGTCTCTTTTGGGGTCCTGAGCTGCCCTGTGCCCCCTCACTGCCCATAGGGCACTGGGGGGTGGGAGGGCTCCATGACACCCCCCACACAGGTGCTGCTCTCACCAACAACCTGGGTAAGCATCACTGTCACCTTGAGCCCCTCAACCTCAGGCTCATCATCTTCCTCCTCCCCAGGGACACCACCCTGGGCCCACACCCCCAGTGTGGATCCACATGGCAGGAAGGGACAGTGACCCCAGGACCCCAGAGGAGAAAAGCCCTGGGGATGGGTGAGCTGGGTGGGGAGGAGGTGGGTGGAAAGTATGTGAATCCTCCAGTCCCCACAAAGTCCCCAAAGGTTTTAGGTCAGCGCCAGGAAGGGGAGGGAGAGGATGAGCAGCTCCCGAGGGACCCCGAGCTCCACCCCAAGCCACCAACACCTGGCAAAGCAAAGTGAATCCCCAGCAGATGCTTGAGGGAGTGGAAGATGCTGGGGGTGGTTGGATCCGGGAGGCAAAGCTGAGTCAGAGGAGCTGGTAGAGGCTTGTCTGAGAGCAGAGGCACCCAGCC